ACCTAAAAATACCACACAATACCATACAATACCATCCTGGTACGGGGTGGTATCTTGTGGTACACAATGTTAAAAGTCGTAAATGACAATTAATATACTTATACTATCATGTATTCAACCATCCTACAGTCTTGGTTTGTTCATACCACCATGGTACGCTTTTCAAACCATAGGTATGCTTTTATTTTAATACTAGTCAATACCATATGGTATAGACGGGTAAAAAATGGCTCAATTTTTTTTTGTTCGAAAAATATATCGAAGTGGATATCATTTTGAAGAGCACAATTAATCTAATCTAACTGGGCAAAAAAAAATTCGACTTAAAACGAGTGAGAAATCGTCCGTCAAAGATTAAGGAGTGGAAAATTAAAGACTTTCTAGGAGAGAGAGGATGTTGATGTCATGCTGATGTGGACGGGTTACTCATGGTTACTCACCTGATCCGTTCCCATTTTTACGGACTTTAAAATTTTAGGATTTTATGTTTCATATTATACCTAGATTTTTTTTTATTTTACGTAAAATACCGACACTAATCACATTGCGCTTCGCCATAGTCACGTAAAATACCGACACTAATCGCATTGCGCTTCGCCATAGTCAAAGTACCATTTATTCAATAGACTATTCGCTTTCGGCCTTGTGATTATGATTCCTATTAGGGTATCCAATGGAAGATCACTGCATGTTAGAATCTTCTTTTACAGTTGCTCTTGTTTATGTGAATGACATCATTGTTGCTAGCAATGATCTTGTTGCTATTGAAAATCCTAAATCTAGAATAGATCAAACTTTTACCGTCACGGATCTAGGAGAGTTAAACTACTTCCTTAATCTTGAGTTGTCTTGTCTATGTACTTCCTTAATCAACGAAAGTTTGCTTGGATGAACTCATATATTCTGGATCCTTTGTGCAGAACCTGCAGATTCTCCTTCGATTCCTGGCTCTAATCTTTCAGCCAAAGATGGTACTGTCCTTTTTGAACCTTCCATTTATAAGAGATTAAAATTGGTCATTTATTGTATCTTTGTTACACGTGACCTAATATGACTTATGTTATCCATAAGCTAAGTCAGTTCACACTTCTCAAACTATTCCACTAACATTCATATATACATGATGCTGAAAAAGGTTTACCATATATTAAAGGTACAGTAGGCAATGTCTCTATTTCTCTAAAAAATTATGATATTCTACTATAATATTTTTGTGATAGTGATTGGAAAGAATGCCCTAATACATGCAAATCTACTGAATTTTGTCATGATAGATAATTCTTTAATATGTTGGCGTTCTAAGAAACAAAACAAAAAAGTATTTCTAGTTCTTCTGCCGAGGCCGAATACATGTTTATGACCAGTCTATTTTGTGGCTTTATTATGTTCTGCATGATTTAAAGATAGAGCTTATTGCACCTATACCTATTATTTTGTCATAATATGTCTGCTATCAAGTTAGCTAACAATCCCGTTACGAACACATAAAACACATTAAGATAGATTGTCATGTGATTCGAGACCAAATTTTGTTTGGGACCAGAACCAACATTAGCCGATATCTTAGCAAACTATATTAAAAAAAATCAGACCTGCTCGTCGTGCACTTCTGCATGGAATCATCATGATTGTGTCTACATACAAAATTACATCCATCATCGTTGATAATTGTGATATATGTGTTCTTTATCTAACATATCAAATATATCTTTTACATACGATAGATGGTTGCAAGCAAATTAGAGATGGTCATTGATGGGGCAGCTTGACAAATGCCAATCTAGAAGTAGTATGGTACAATTAGGGCGGGAAGTTTGGTATCGGTATTTGGGATATATCGAATGTCGTACTGAATTTGTCTATATTTGGTATTATCGAATACACGTATTATTTTTTGGGATTGGAATTGGGATTGAATTTCAATTATTATTCGGTATTAGAGATTATAGGATTGGGATCGGTATATACCGAAATACCGATCAATATCGAAATATAAGCTATTGTTCATTTTATTCTCTCAACTAGACTCTCTCATTCACTACTACACGACCCTCAACCACCAAGAGTCTCATTTAATTATACATAGATCATTCCATCACTATTTCACAACTTAGAAGTCCCCATACAACTCAAATTCGACTTTCCAATTTAAGTAACTCTCTTCTCTCACCTAATCTCTTGTAATTTTCATAACACCAAAATGCAACACACTAGTATTAGTCGTCTCTCAACATCCAATTCGTCAAATTAAACACTAGATTACCAATGACAAGAACTTGAGATTAGGGATGGCAATGGGTCGGGTTGGGGCGGGTTTTGTCAAACCCAAACCCATGGGTTTATCAGCCAAAAAAACCCGGGGTAAAACCCGTTGGGTTTGAAAAACTCAATCGCAACCCAACCCGCTGGGTATCCGCGGGTTCATGGGTACCCGTGGGTTTTTGTGGTAAAAATTTACAATAACAAGTTTCTTTCAAAATAAAAGTTTAACATCAATTTTCTCATACAAATTAATCATACAAAAAACACCAATGTAGAGCATACAAGCAAACCGCAAATGATCAATACAAATTGTTCAAAATTAAAGATAAACATATATAAACAATAAGATTAATTGAAAGCTTCTTCCTCGTCAACTAAGTTTCTTCACTCTCCACTTCATAATATCAACTTCATTCTAAACAATTAGAAAGAATAAATTATACATGTCTCCACAAACATATATATAGGTGTCAAAACATAGCCCGACTCGATTAACCCGCCCGATCAACCCGACCCGCAACCCGAATTGACTAAAACTCAACAACCCGTAACCTGCCCGACCCACAACCCGATTGACTCGCAACCCAACTAACCCGCAACCCGACTAACCCGCAACCCGATTAACCCGAACTTGATTGACCCGCAATCCGACTGACCCGCAACCCGATTAACCCGAACCCGATTGACCCGAACCCGACTAACCCGTAACCCGACCGACTCAACCCGAATTTCATCTAATCCACTTGAATAATTATAAAAATATACAATACATAGTTTTTAAAAATAAATTTTTCCATTCTAAACTTAAGTACAATTATTTTTTCATTTCGTATAAGAAATTTTAAAAATATGAAACTCACTTGATATTACGTATTTTAAGAAAATTAAAAAAATTGAAACATGAAGGTCACTTGAGATCATGACAATATTAATATAATATATAAATTAAAATTTTGGTTAATTTAACTATTCAGTAAAATTATCAATTAAATATAAATAAAGTAAAGTAATGTATTTGGTAATTTGATGTTTTTAAAAGAAGAGGGAAATTTTGATGTATTCAAATTTTTGAGAAGAGAAAGAAGAGGGAAATTTGGTTCTTTGGATTTTTTAGAAAAGAAACAAGTGGGAATTTTGGTGGTTTTGATATGTGGGAAGAGAAAGAAGTGGAAAAGTTTGATTCTTTTGATTATGAAAGAGAAATAAGGAGGGAAACTTTTGACTTTTCAACTTTTTGTAGAAGGAAAGAAGAGGGTAATTTGGTTCTTTCAATTTTATGGAAGGGAAAGAGGAGGGAAAATTGAGTTTTTCTAATGTATGGAAGGAGAAAGAAGGAGAGAAATTTTAGTATTTTTGTGAGAAGAAAGAAGGAAACAAATTTGTTGTTTTCAATTTTTTGATTTTTCATGATTTTAGCTTTTGAAATATAAATCTTTAACTTTTATATGGAGGGCATGACTAGTTAAAATTATTCTTATATGCTTTGAAGGCTAATATGTATATATGTATGTAATTTTTTATGGACTACTAAATAAATTAACCATTAGTTACAACAATTTATTCTAAACTTGATAAGTAATCTTTGATGGTTCGTTGTTTAGGATATAAAGTATATGGTTAGGGTATAAGGTATAAGGTACATATGGTTTAGGGTGTATATGGTTAGGGTATAAGATATTGATGGTTTTGACGGTTCTAAGTTTTTTATTAACATATGTTCACTTGAAGTCATTTGAAGTCTTTAATGGCAGGAGATCCCTTTTTAATTTATGTTTATCGTACGTGGTTAGGGTACAAGGTATGTGGTGTAAAGTATAGGATATATGGTTAGGGTATAACAATTAGCAAATAAACAATTAACGGTGTCTTTTGGTTGCAAATATTGATATCACCATTACTATTAGCTATAATACTTTACCAATTATGATTAATTACATAACAAGTTTGCAAGTCATACAAATTGATTTAACATTTTGACTAGTTTTTTCAAAAAAGTAAAGTATATATATACGAGGTAGAAATAAATTGGTTAAAAAGTTGAGAAAATATTTTAAATTAGTGTTTTAAAATGTGTAAGTTGGTAATGAGTAATGAGTTAAGTTACATGATGCGCTGGCCCGAACAACCCGAAACCCGACCCGCCCGCAACCCGCCCGACCCAAAACCCGATGAACCCGCAACCCGATTGAATCTGAACCCGATGAACCCGCAACCCGACTAATCCGCAACCCGTTTGTATCCGAACCCGATGAACCTGAACCCGATGAACCCGCAACCCGACCAACCCGCAACCCGTTTGAACCCGAACCCGATTGAACCCAGCCCGAACCCGCCCGATTGATACCTATAAACATATAGAATATTAGTTATTTAAGGAAGATATATTATTTAGAATATTAAATATACCAGGAAAGTAATTATATGTGTGTGGGCGGGTACCCATGGGGCGGGTTTACCTAAACCCAAACCCAATCCGACCCGGTGAATAGTGTAGCGGGTTTAAACCCGAACCCGGCCCAAAACCCGTCAACGTGGGTTTTACCCGCCTTGACCGGGTTGGGTCGGGTGGGTACCCGTGGGTTCGGGTTTTGTTGACATCCCTACTTGAGATGTCACCTCTCCTCCATTCTCCTTATCCATATCCTAGCTCTAGGCAAACTCTTTGCTCAGTCTTTTTGCCCTAAATTAGACAATAAAATATAATTTATATATTTAATTATTAATTGCAAATGTAATTAATTTCGTATTTGATAATACCGATTGGGATACCGAAGTACCGATTGGGATACCGAAATATTTGGGGATTGGTATTGGGATACCGAAATTATTTAGGGATTGAGATTGTGATTGATTTTAAGGTGTAATTCGATATTCAGAATTTCGATACTTGATATTGGGATACCGATACCACACCGATTTCCACTCTTAGGTACAGGTAACATCAGTTTTTTGCACAAATAGGAAAGACTACTAATGTGGTCATATCCCGACCCTTCATTTCAAGCTTTCACCACCACCATGCTTTTCAGCATTTCTTATTTACTCATCTACATGCACTTCAGTTTTTTGCACGGGCTGCCCAGAGACCATCCACCACTGCCTGTTTGAATGCGGCCATGCCCAAGAGACGTGGAAAGCGTGCTTCCCAAACATGTCTACACCACCTCCTCTCACAAACCCTCTTGATTGGCTTTTTCAGGTCCAAAAAGGAGCCCCAGAGCAATCAACTCACTTCATCATCTACCTCTTATGGACTATCTGGTTGGCAAGAAACGAGAAGGTGTTCGACAATGTCACCCCATGGCCACCTCGCTCATGCTCCAATGCTACTCGTGATCAAAAGCAGTGGACAGAGTGTCCGAAAGTCCCCCTACAGCAGAGACTCCACTCGGACCAGCGCAATCACACCCAGAACAACCCTGATCCACCGCCAAGCAATCCCAGTTATGAGATTCACTGTGATGGTTCATTCTCCAATGAATCCCAGGAGGCGGCTTATGGTTATGTGATCCTCAATAACCATGGACAGGTTTGCGATGGAGCGGCTGGTCCTGTTACCTGTTCCTCACCAATTGAAGCGGAAGCTATGGCTATTCAGGAGGCTATTTTTGCGGCTAAAAGATTGAACGCAACAGTTCATGTAAAATCCGACTGTCTCTCCCTTGTAAACGCAATGGCAAGGACGCCTGAGTTTTGGCCGTGGGCTTGTGCGGCGAGACTAAGTGTTGTCACCGCCATTCTTGACAGTGAGCCAAGAATTAAGGTTGAGTTCTTCTCTAGAAAGAACAACTTCCGGGCAGACTGGATTGCTCGGTCTTTCAATCAGGGATCCCTCCCCGAAGACTGGATTACCGTTCTGAATCTGCTGGATCCTTTCTTTTCTAATGTATCCTGACAATTGGTTTGAGGAATAAAAGTAACAATGATTTACCACTGTCAAAAAAAAAAAAAAATCTTGCCATCTTGCCGTCCTCTAAAACAACTCAGCTCTGTCCTAGGTGGGCCCAAATTTCTTCTGCTCTATCAGGAGCTTCCGAATTAGGTATGTAAAATCGTATCAGAGATCGCGCCAGTAAGCTAGTAAGGTTCATAATTCTTATACAACCATAATCAACGTTATGCAATTTAACACGTCATATTCATGACCTATTTTTAGGATCTAAATTAACCACCAAAGAAACATTCATCTTTGGCAACTTCAGCAGAGTTACCTCAAAACAAGACCATGAAATTTGGGCAAAGGTTCCAACCTTCTGCCCCCTTGATCTGGTTCTTTATATCATTAATAATGTGTCAAGTGCAGTCTATGAAATGGCACATAAGTGATCACCCACCAATGTCCAAAATTATCTAGCACTCAGAGATAACGAGTTGTACAGGTATAGTAGAAACTAAGCAACACTAGAGAAAAAAAAAATGGCAACTAAACCACACTTAAAAGAGGATCTAAAATCAACTCTGTTGGCTACGGGTATAATAAGTCTGAAAAGAGACCACCCTTTTCATGTATGCTTGTCTATCTTTTGGTTGTTCCTATGATACAGTCATCTCATGAGCACCTATTTCGGGTTAAATATCCTCTCATGTTCGATAAGATCGACAAAATAATGGTAAGAACAAAAGAATTGGGTTTCCATCTGTAGTCCTAAGAAGAGAAAACGAAGAAAAAAAACTGTTAATGATGACACTAGCCTCTATGTTTGCTCTCGGACATAGTTCACACTCTCACACTTCAACTCTCCTGTAGAAAAGAACATAAGCAGCTGAAGTCTTGATTTTGTCCTGGCTCACCGGATGAACGTGGCTATCGTCGAAGTCGTACCACTGGTCACCTCCATGCTGCAAAGAAATTATGAAGATATATCTTCCACAGTCACCAACTTTGGATATTATGCACATACCTCAGTCATAAACGAGCATTTTAAGTTATAAAACATTCTCCAAATCTTCTTCATGGGAAGTTCAAACGAAATGCATATCAGAGTTCGAAGTTCATTGGAACTTCCAATAATTCGCCATATTTTCACTTGAGCTGTTGTGCAAGAAGCAAAATAGATGACAGTAAGTTATTAACCAGAGGCATCACTTACATGGACAAATGCAGTGTAATGACCACCTCCCATGCTTCCAAAGTGATTACTGATGGCATAGAGGACATAGCGGTGAGATGTTTGCCCGTTCTTGTAAGAAATGTAGGTTGCCAAATCAAGATCATCAGTAGGAAAGTCCACAAACGTCTCTAGCTTGTTCTTCATATACCGGGTGTATGAAAACCTCTTTAGATGGATTACCAGGATCTCTGGTAGCCTCCAGAGATCCAGTTTCTTGCTGGCTTGACGATGCTCCTTGCATCCAGGACAGTACCTAAAGGGCATATATAATAGTAACCGACATCAGAAAGGGAAGACTTCAACAATATGTTTTTGAGTAATCATATTCACTAACCACATGTCTTCTGGGCCAAGAGGTTCCTCCTTCAAAAATGCTTCAAGGCAGCTATAAAGTGAAACTGATTCCTGTTGTCTCTTTGCAAAAGATCCAGATTTGAAAACCTCTGGTAATGAACTGAGACGGGATATGTCATACTGTTCTTCCATTTGTTTCTCAGCCCAGCAAGCAATCACAAAGAACCGTCTGGGAGTCCCAGTAATTGGCAATTGCTCATCCATAACTATCTTAGTGTCCTTAAGAAACCCCTTCTCGTCCGTCAAATAAAAGTAGAGTTCAGCATCCAAAGGAGAGTCATCTGCAGCAGTTCCACTAGAGCAAGCACTGTTGTCCTGCCTCTCAGTCGCTTCATCATTTTCTTTTTTATAATGCTCAGTCACTTCCTCACTAAGAGTAATACTTTTACAGTCGGCAGTTTGATCCAGTATTCCCTCAGCAGGCCTTTGAAACGGAGCGAGCAACTTCAAGTACAATTTATGGATGTCAGATCCAGTGAAAGAGGCAGAGCTCTCCCCAACAAGAGGAATCCCAAATGGCTTCATTGTTGAAGTCTGTTTCCCATGGATGAACTGCCTGACATTTGGAAATCTGTTAGGAGTTGTATTGGCTTTTGGAACATGGAGAGGACAAAAATTCTATCGCTTTCTTTGGACAAGTAAAGAACTTGCTTCTCATTCTATGTTCATTTCATCTTCGTTTGTAGATGTTAAAACTTCAGTTGTCGATATAACTCGAACAAAAATGTTTCTTAACCAATATAAAAAAGACAAACTTAAGACACAAGTAACTTTAAAGGTGGGGCTACAAACTGTTAGCCTATAAAGTAGTCTAATAAATGAAAATGTGTTTCCCATTTCACCTGTTCAAAAGAGAATCCATTATGCTCATTATAGTCATTATACAAACATCATTAATTTCATATTTTTTTCCAAACGTTGGGCATGTACAGAATATCTCACATCTCAAAGGTTACTTATCTGCCAAAATATCACATCCTATCAAATCTACTTTTTTTAAAACCTTATCAGTAACTATATTATTATATTTTGTATACAATTTAAGCTTTAGAATCTAACATTTTTGGACAAGATAAAAAAAACAAACGTGAAGGACCTTGTAGAGTAAAATAGTGAGGTGGGATCGCCACCTCACAAATTCTAACAAACAAGTGAAAAGTATTAGCAATTTTCCATGAACCAAGCTGAAATAATTAAACACCATAATCAAGATCAACCATATAGCAACGGACTCTCTTCAACCAGGGAAAAAAATTATCCAGACATGGAATAGTGCTCTCACGGTACTGCAAAATTTAATGCACGGTGTAAAAAGCAAAGAGAACTTACTCCTCCACATGTTGATGCATAAATATAACCAGAGGGCCATCACTGCTGAAATCTTTCTTTACCCGATAAGCAACAAGTCGGTCGCCATCCCTGATTAAAGTTAAGGAATCACTTGGATCCTCCAGAAATCGTAAGATGCGGTTGTTATATACCTGGAGAGAGAAGAGTAGAACATCCAAATAATTCTTATTCAACCATATGACAACATTACAAGCAACTACAGTAACTTAAGGGATTCATAGATTACAAAAGCAAAATAAAGTACCTCCGCCACCAACAGAGTCTCATCGTCTCCTAAAGAGCATGAAGCAGTTAGAGCCTGGATAAGATCTTCAAACTTCCCAAACTTTGGGACAGAAATTGTACATGGGGAAGGTTGAATACTTCCATCGGTACTTATAATTGTCAGAGTCATTGTCCTAGTACTTGTAGAGGGCAGCGGTAGAGATAGATACATGAATGGATCAAACATAATAGAAACCTTTTTGCATATAGGGCAAACTAATGTTGATTTATATTGTCCCTGCAAAGAAAAATTAAGCAGGTCACTCATCACATAGATAATTATTAACTTCAAATGTGAGATAAAAAGAAGTCCTAAGAGTAAAGAAAAATAGCAGCTCAAATTGCACCTTTACTGAAATAGCCTAGTTCTGTAGCTACTCGTGTTCACAATCTCTTGCTATGATATCCATGACCATAACACATATTAACAGATACTAGTCCTACAATGTTACCAGAAGCTAATTCCGCATCCCTTAAAATTGCAACTAAAAAAAGTCCGAGCGCTATATACACTATCTCTATCAGACTATCAAACCAGTCAATTTGTCCATATTCCATAAATTCAACCAAAGCAGAACACTGGATTGAAATGAGGAAACATTATGATTTCATTATCAGATGCAAATTAAAAAGAAAATATTCACAAAAATAAGGAGCCATGGGAGACGTTACTTGGCAAATATCAACAATAATGGAATCATTGCGAGCCAGATGATTGCGCCAATACTCATCAGCTACTTCTGAATCCGGTCGTCCATCTCCATCCTTGGCTTCAACGTACGGCTTGGATTTCACGCGATTGAGATCTTCATGAAGGCCATCCAATAAAAATGCAAGAAGCTCCTGCAACAAAAGATGTTGTCAAACATATAACATAGACATATGACCTGCAGAGACTATTAGAGAGATTGAAAAACCTGGGAATCATGTTGATTGAAGCCACTGAACTGAGGAGCAAATCGACCCAGCTTTGACTTGAACGTTCTTGGATTCACTGAGCCTGCTCCAGGAGCCCATAGTTTCCGTATCAACTCTCCAAAAGCTAAAGCTATCTCACCCTGGTGAAGACAGTTTTCCTATTGTTACACTGTACTATACTGTAATGCTCGTACACTAATATTCAAGCATAGAGATTGTTGGTGGGGTATCACCACCCAAACAGCTATAATAACTCAACAGAATTATGACACATGAAATGGTAGCTTACATCCATTCCCAGAGGATTGTCGTGATTTATTTCTCTACAATAATCTCCAAGGAAATAGTCTACAAGCTTTGGTGTGTGTGCCAAGCACTGGATGGCACTATTCATGAAGCAAGTATTTCCAAGATTCTGCAATCCCGTCAAACCCAATGATCCAGCTTCACTGGATCTTCCAAAGATGGCAGAGTTGCTACGAAACATGCCGGTGGACACGCTACCATTCATGCCATTCATGAGTGGAACAGAAGAATATGTCCCATTAGAATACGGTGCAGCCCCAGTTTTCCCTTCTCTAGACTTAGTGTTATCAGATAACCCATATACTTGTAGTTCCAGGATAACCTACACAAAAGGATAACGCATGTTGCAGCTTGTACTGTCTCGAATAGAAGGAAAAGAGAGCTGCTTTGAATAAAAAGATTATACAAATGCAATCTGGATATAATACACAATAACCCTAAACCCCACACCCTAATCGGGCGTAGTACTGGCCAAGCTCTAATGGTGGTCATTGTGTGCCTCTAGTTGAGCAGTATAAAGCATCAAATGATCATGCATATATTTCGGCAATAACAAGGATCTACCAAAAGTTACGAGCCACATACCTCCTCATCTGACTGTCGCGGACTATCTTTTGGAGATCTACATTGGCCAACCATGGAAAGTAGAGCTGTCTGTCCAGAAAAGTCCCAAATCCGCAACTGCACAATAGTAGAGTCTAGTCACTGAAGCATCTCATCAAATATATCAACTAGTTGAAATTCTTACTTACCATCTCAGAATCTGCATTGAAGATCTTATACGCTCTTCTGAAAAATTCAGGCCCATTGTCCTGAAAGTATTATTACGAAATATCAACATAGGAATAATAAACCCCAGCGAATCAGCAATTAAATAAACTGCCAACTTCAGTTGATTGTCACCATCACGATTGTCAATAGATGTTCATACTTTAGTAGTGGGTTTGAGAGGGGTAGGGCAAACAAGCTGGAAGAGCTTTGTTAGCTTGTAAGCTCGAGCACTGATAACTTTTATCCCACGGGCTTCTAACTCTTGGACTTTTATCAGTAAACAACAAACAACTGCTGAGTTGTATCGTATGTGTAGTATCAATATTTATGTTCACATGACTGCTTGACAGCGCTAATGGGTCGTTTTTGCTGACAAATCCAACATCCATTACCCTTTGACTGTCCTTGAAATTAAAATATACATATATAAATAAAAATGACGGCCCATTTTCCTCACCTTTTTGGTAATTTTCACTCCCAATGAACTGGTTTCCGGTTGTACCGACAGTCTGAGTAGCAAAGGATACACATCTGACATGTCATCTTCCGCAGCTAGAAATGTCTTCGTTTTCTTTGCGGATACCTTGGCATCACTATGCCTGGATGGTAAATTATGAAATTAGAATTAGACAACTGGTTTCAGGCCACAAGGACTCTAAGAGGATAGCATCTCTATTGTAAATTAATCAAGAACTACTTCCTCTGAAAAGAAAGAAGCGACAACATAATATATGAAACTACTACAGAAGAAACCAAAGCTCTGTTCTCATCTTCAGGGTCCCCATTATGGAAAAGGATAACGTCACTAATAAGGTAATTCGCAGGATTTGGCATTAGCTTCCGCAGACGAGGATACATCTCACAAACTAACTTATTGAGGATATATAAGTTTGTAAGACGATTCGGTCATTAAGTTATGACCTATCCATGTTTGGTTTATAATAATAGCTTTGGAAGTCTGTATAATCACAACTACCATGTAGGCAAGGGCATCATCAAAGTCTCGGAGGAACTGAACTTAAAATGAACATATTTTCAAGTGTGTATAACACCATAAAGGTTCAAGGTTAACATTAAACAGTAGAGTTTGATGCCCTGTTCAGCAGATAGTCAAATTTATCTCTGGGAACGACACGTGTAGGTACTCCTAATGCCGTAAATCAACTCAGTTATGGATTCAGTCAAGAAATCATTTCAGCGTGATTACACTCTCACAAACACCTATCTCATTAAATGGAAGAATTCTCCATGCAAACCTACTTCAAATTAGCATGCAAGGAGCAGAGCATATCATAATATCTCTCTGAAAGATCATGAGCGCCTCTTCACACAAAAACCTATCTATAAATGTCAAGCAATTGAATACACTCTGTAGTTAATGCTAGATAACTGCTTAATGGAGCTCTAATTCATTCATGAATTACGTGCATGGAAAAAGAGAACTTCTACGACCGCGCGATACCAGTTCACAAAGATCTAACAAAATTGGGGCAAGTGTATAAGCTCGTCACTATCACTTTATTTGACAACATAATTCAATGGCTCAGTTTAACCAGTTCCAAACAAAACAGGGCAAGCAAATGTCAAAGTAACAATTGATCTAAAATCTCAAACACAATGCATCGATCACGAACGATTATCTACCAAAATCCCTATCAACTTCCAACCATAATTTCCAAACAGAACAATTCACTAACCCTTACCATTTCAGTGCCTTCACCCACATTTCCCCAGACACCAACGCAAAGTCCCTCCCGGAGACACCCACTTCATTATTCTCGCCACCATTGGGCAATAAACCTTCCTCTTCTCCCCTCAAATTGAGCATAAGATCCGAGCTGAACATGTTGTTTATCAGCTTCATTGGACCCACATACGAAGACGACGCCTGGCTCGCGGTGTACAAAACCCCTTTCTTCCCATCTGATTCCTCCTCAGCAACAGCATCGTTCGTCTCCTTCCACCACCTAAAAAGATCCCAATTCAAACCCAAATCAGCCACGCCAAATCGCAGTAGCCCCATATATACAATCCATCCTAAAAGCACGACCATGAAGAGCAAGATCAATCCCAACATCTACACATTCAACTCCCCTCATAACAGATGGAGGCAACGACCAAATTCCGAGATTTGATTAACCGGGCATTAAACCTTTACAGATTGGATGCGCGGGAACAAGAAGGTGACGAACGAGTTGAAGATTCCGCAGATTAGAAATGCAATCTAAGAAAGAGAGAGAGGGAGAGAGAGAGGAAGTGAAAGAAGACCTGAGAGGAACGAAGTAAACACGCTGGTCATTGTCGGAGGATTCTGGTCGCTGAATTGAATCTGAGAGATCTTCGGACACGCCGTTGTCCATTTTAACTATCGGCGACCTCCCAAATCAAACGGGAAAGAGAACAGAAAAGAAAATAAAAAAGGAGGAAAATTTTTTGCGAAAAAGGGGAGAAAAGGAATGGAGAGATTAGATTTAGGGCAATGGAGAAGGGGGCGAATAATGCAGAGAGAGAGAGAGGGCGGGAGATCAGTCTCCCGGAAGAGGGAGACAGGGAGACGACAATGGCGGATTTGCAGAGAGAGAGAGAGAGAGAGAGTGAACGAAGGAAGGAAGCCACTCATAACAAAAGGGAGGGGAGGCTTTGTTGTCTTTATTAAAAAAGAAAAGGCTCCTTTTTTTTTCCTTTTTTATTTATGTGAAGCGGATTCGAAGAGGGAAAATTCACATTTTTAGGAAACCTAAATAATAATAATTAATTAAAATTATACCATATATTCGGAGAATAATGTTGCTGTTCATTTGTTCTAGTTATGGTGCACATAGCATTTTCTATGTTTTTTTTTATAAGATTAATCAACTTTTATTCCACCAATCGATAAAAACCCGGAACCAGGTTACATTCTTAAACAAAATTAATCAGCATTTTCTATGTCACTGTGTGCATTTGCTCAAAGCACATTGATTGGGCCACGTCGCCCAAGCCTCAATTGATTGGCCATGAATGATTTGAGCTGGGACGGACTGAGGGTGTGAGAAAAGGGGAAAGTTTAGCTGGATAAACTGAGCCGAGGGACATTAGGTGGGTTCGGCACGTGAGAGAAGGAATTTGAAAATAAATAAAAAAATTCATAAAAAGAAATTGTCTCGTAGAACCGTCCTTCACTCTTCTTCTTTTCTTCTTTCTCTCTGCTTCTTCTTTCTCTCTTCTTTTTCTTTCTCTCTTTCTCTTGACCCAAAAACCACCCACAAAGAAAGGCGACGACGACGAGAAAGTCGGAACAAGGAAGGCAACGAAGAGGAAGGAGGAACGCGACGACCAGGCGACCCCAAAACCAAGACATCTTCGACAAGGAAGAGTTATCTCAGCTGAGTTCTCCCTAGTTCGACTGAAGCACGTTTGAATATCGGCGAGGACAAATCTCCGTCTCTCCCTCATTTTCTTGGTATGGGTTCTCACTTTGATTGAAATTTTGGGTGTTTACGGTTTCTTGAATACGAGTTGGGTTTTTTTTTGTACAAGTAAAAATGGAGTCAATTTGAAGGGTCTTCTTCACAATGCGACTTGTGTGGGCGTGTTTTGGGAGTTATGACTTCTTGCTTAGAATCACTAAAAGTGAGTGTATCAAAAAGTAGTTGTTACCTAAATCCTCCATTTTAGTTGATTATTGAGTTTGTGATGTTTTTATTTGCTAATGGTTTTCTTTGTGTTATGAATACTAGTTCTTTTTGTTATGAATATTAGTTGTGTCTTCATTGTTTACCAGTGGTTTGTAGTTTGACAATACTGGTTGTTTCTGTTCTGAATATTAATTATCTTCGATGTGTTGTGTTCGTCTTTAGTTTCTCAATATTAGTTTGTGATTAATGGGATTGTACTTTTGTTGTATAAATGTTCCGAATACTACTTGTGTCTTCCTTGATGTTGAGTCTGTAGTTGTAGAATACTGATTATTTTGGTTATAAATATTAGGTGTGTCTTCATTGTGTACTGATGGTCTGTAGTTTGACAATACTTCTTGTTTCAGTCCTGAATATTACTTGTTTTCATTGTGTTGTGTTTGTTCCCCTTTTTTGAATATTAGTTTGCGTTGGACAGGTTTGGAATAATGGCACGAACGAAGAAGCGTGTTCCGAAATGCGACCGTAAACCCTTAGTGGATCCTCCTCTTTCAGAAGATTGTCCTGTTGCAAAAGATGGTCTTCCTCCTATAGATAATGTTGGTGATGACGATGGGGAGCGTGCTGTAAAAACGGGCAATGGTGTTGCTTCTAAAGTGCGTGGTAATGATGCTAGTGACACTCCTCCTGGGAAAATGGGTGGGAAAGCTGTTGGGAAGGGAAATGGGAAAGGTGTTGGGAAAGATGTAGGGGTAGGTGCTGGGAAAGGTGTTGAGAAAGGTGTTGGGAAGGGCAAGGAAGCAGCAGAACCTGGGAAGAAAGCAAATGAAACGCAACATCGATTGCACACATCATCGTTGTTGAGTGTTGTGGAATTCTGGAAGCAGGATGAGGCTTACACTGAAGAATGTGAGAAGGAGCTACAGAAGGCGGGATTCGATGGATTGTTGGAGATACCAATGAGCGACACCAATAAGTTTCTGTTGTCGACAATGATAGAGCATTATGATCCTACTTCGGGTTGCTTCATTTTTTGGGTGGGAGAGAAGAAGAAGGTGTTGACATTGGAGGACGAGGATGTGGCTCGTGCTTACGAGTTACGACCTTCATCGCGTGGGGGGAGAAGTATTTATCGAAAAAATGTATGGATAAATGCAAGTTGAAGCTTTTCAAACTGAGATTGGGATGAAAGAAACAAGTGCATTTTTTTATGGACAATATAAAAGATTTCATTAAGCTCTTATGCAGCAACCTGGAAAAGGAAATTATTTCTCGGTCTTTACATTTTAGCCTACAAAATTCTGCAATTTACACAAAAACACTAACTGCTACCGACTACTACAAACAGTGGCTGACCCATAAATTTTATATAAGGACGTCTCACTCAAAAGTTAAATTAAAAAATAAAAATATTAATAAAGAAACTATTCGACTAATACAAGTTGCAATAAAAGTCAACGATGTGTTACTCATTGTCTACTATGCTCCACACATCTATTTCAATATATCTTACTAGACAATCATTTATGAACTGATCTTCTATTCGAAACTTGTTCTTGATATAACCCAAAGCTGAAAAAGCTCTCTTAAGTCTCAATACTTGGAGTTGCCAATGATAAAATCAACACAACTTTGAGGAGCAAATAGACCATTAGAAACGATAGGGTCAAGGGATAGTTTGTGGGTTTGATTTTAGACTTTGGAACATTTGAGAATATATGAAAAAATCACAACAACAAACGAATTGTACTCAAATAGAAAAGATGTTCAGTAATAACTACTATGTTATAGATTCAAATCACATACACTATCTTTTTTTTCTTTTTTTTTATATTCAAACTACAATCAGGGGTTGATTAATTTTTGTCCCAAATTTTAGCCGGGACACCCAACCCCTACACCTGGATCCGCCCCTGACTTTAGCCTATCATAAGAATTTTTGACAAACAATAAAAAAAACTTGTGTATTAATTAGAAACTCCAGAAAAAAGTTTGTCTATAAGGGAAATCGAATCACAACTTCAATTTATTCCCTACCAGCTTGTTGTCCGACCCGTTTGTCGGAATGTCATTGAATACAATGTACGTATGATGTGTATTTAAAATTTTTAAATTACTTGAAATGCTGAATTTCGTATGACATTTACATGACATAATTTTTTTTCGAAATTCTTATAACTTTTCATCAATGATGAACATTGTAAGCTTAATTGTCATAACCAAAGTTGTCAAACCAGTTCAAGTTGTTGAGCCGGTCAAACAAGTAGTTTGAAGTTTAATGGTCTGATTGAGGTCCAACCTGTTCGAGCCGTTTTACACCTTTTCTAAATATATTTACATATAAGATAGAAATTTAGTGACTGAAATGGAATGTAATAACTTATATCTATTAAAAACTCAAATTTCATAAGAAAACATACTTATTTCAAGATCCACCCACCATCCTCTTGCCTCTCCCCCCCTCCCCCTTCCCTCTCTCTTCTTCTCCCTGTCTAACGATCAGACACTTGGTTTTGTAGAGCTGGTTTTGGAACACGACTTTGGTTGGACCTAGTCCAACCAGCCACCCAGTAGAGGTGTAACAACCTTGGTTATAACACTCATGAGTAACCATTCATAACTTGTCAATTTAATGATGTAGTCACTCTAAAAAGAAAATTGACATAACAAAAAAAGATTTTGTCTAAAAAAGCGTAGCATAAATAGGAAACTCGTGATCATAACCTTTACTCAATATTTATTTCTTATGCTTGAGAAACAATACATATATAATAGTATCTAAACATTAAAGTATTCTGCATAATATAATAACAAAATTAGAAAGAAAATAACATTTTCCATCCATACTCTATGCAATGAAAAAATGTTTTATCAACGAACATACTCTAAATTTAGTTGAAGTACAATCTTATTCACTCAACAAAAAAGTTAAACCTATCTTGTGGTACCTACCTTTAGGGATGACAACTTAACCCAAACCCGCAGATACCCTACCCCGATCCAACTCGGTCAACACGGGTAAAACCCGTGTTGACAGGTTTTGGGCTGGATTTGGGTTTAAATATGTTCAATATTCACCGGGTTGGGTTGGGTTTGGGTTTAGGTAAACCCACCCCATGGGTACCTGCCCACATCCATATAATTAATTTTTCCGGTATATTTAATATTCTAAACAACTAATCTTCTTTATGTTTATGAAGACATGTCTAATTTTTTCTTTCTAATTGTATAGAATGAAATTGATATTATCGAGTGGAGAGTGAAGAAGTTTAATTGATAATGAGGAAGAAGCTTTCAATTAATCAAATTGCTTATGGATACTTTGAGATTTGCTTCAATTTTCTTGAGTTTTCTAGATTGGTGTTGAACAATTTGTATGGTTAATTTGTGATTTGCTTGAATTTTCTAGAATGGTGTTTTATATGAGGAATTTTACAATGCTATATAGCATTGGTACTATAGGTTTTTATCTTTATGGTACAACTTGAAATTGTACATTTAACGTTATGGTACAACTTCAAATTGTACCTATACTTTTTGTGCAAATTCTTTTATAGTACAACTTGAACTTGTACCTTTATGTGATGGTACAACTTCAAGTTGTAAAGTTATACCATAACATAATGATACAAATTCCTATATGGTACAACCTAAAATTAGACATTTATTGTTATGGTACAACCTAAAGTTGTACATTAAAGCAACAATACTATATAGAATAGTAGAAGTGCTCGTTTTATATATGGATAATTTGTATTGAGAGATTGATATTTGACTTTTATTTTGATAGGAACTTGTTATTGTAAATTTTTTACGACAAAAACTCATGGGTACCCATGAACCCGTGGATACCCAGCGGGTTGGTTTTGAGTTTTTCAAACCAGTGGGTTTTACCCCGGGTTTCTCACGGATAAACCCATGGGTTTGGGTTGGCAAAACCCGACCCAACCCGACTCATTGCCATCCCTACCTACCTTTCTAATGCATATGACCACATTGATGCATCCATGAAAACTCCAGCTTGATTTTCATGATTTGTCTTGTATTGTGGTTATTTTATATTAAACTAATTAACTATAAATGATACATATGGTCAATTATCATATCAGATAAAATATTTAAATAATTGAAATCATCTAGAAAAATTGGTATTCAGAAATTGTGTTCTTTTAAACTCACCCATTTGTCCAGTCATGCCATATTATCAAGAGAGTGAGAATTTAATAGTAAACCAAACTAAAATTTTAAAAAAGCTGGTCACTTACAGTTTGCATAACAATATCGTTGTTTTAATAGTTTTAAAAATTAATACCAAGTTAAGAATTCTACATAAAATCTACACATTCAATACTGCAATTCAATATGTAATATTCGAATCAATGATATTTGAGTTTCAATTTTAAAATTACCATCCATTTATAAGATAGACATACATTAAATCTATTATTAAACTCAAATTAAAATAATGATAATATGAAAATTCAAATATCAAATAACAAAGAAAGTACTTACGGGAAATAATATTCGAATCAATGATATTTGAGTTTCAATTTTCAGATTTTTTACTTTTTTTTTTACAAGAGATAATCATATATTGATCGAAGCAAAACGATAGTTACATCCTGGAAGCCAGCCAGGTCTGAAAATCAAAATACCGACACGTAGTCGGGAACAAAGAAAGGGCCTTTCTAGCTACCAAATGAGCTACCCTATTGTCACCCTGACCTACAAATCGCACAGTAAAGCCCGGATTTTCCCTGAAGATCTGAATCAGATTTTTTACTTAAAAAAATACAAAAGAGTTTTTTAGCGTAAGTGGTAATGGTTATTGTCTTAGTTTGGAAAGACCATGATTAGAATCCCGAAATTGATATATTTTTTTCTTATAAATAAAAAATAAATAATAATTGTGAAAACATAATTATCTTTCCTACTTTCGCTTTCGTTGCGAAAAATTTGAAATGCTGAAATACTGCCCACTCGGCTGTAATATATTTGTAGATTTTCCTAACTCTGCCTTACATTCTTGAGCGGTGGTGCTTTCCATGCAACTTTAAACCAGATATGTTTTGTTTTTTTATTGCCGGCCGTATTCTTCTTTCTGTTCTATAATCCAAAGGAGGCGATGTTACTTAGCACTCAGCTGGAATTCCTTTCGGCTGTGGTGTTGGAATCGGTTGTCATTTTGGCTCTATTGAAATTGTTGAGTTAATTTCGACACACAAAAAAATGTTGAGTTAAAATGGTGGTAAGATAAAAAAAATTTATTCAACGAAAAAGATCCTTTTGTAAACGAGAATAAATAATCTTAAAAAATAACTCAAACTAGGCAAAAAAAAAAAAAAAAATTCTTAAAAAAATACTACCACGGGGAAGGTGATTCCCAAACAATCCACTAGCCTGAAAATTTTTACCACTTTCTCAACACAGGAAAAACGCTAATGCTATTAGCGGTGGAAGTTTGGTTTGTGGGTAATCCGCAAATCGTACCAACCCGCACATACTGTGCTTAACCAAACTCACAAGTTGTGGGTAGTGAGTTGGGTGTGGTTAGTAAAATAATAATTTTTATATTTAGTGATTAATCACTAACCACAGCGACTAACCCACAAAAACCTCATTAGACAAATAAACTTCTGTTTGATATACTACTAACTGTCTAACTACAACAATTAATCCACAAAATCCACTACAACTACATTAGACTAACAATATTTTGTTTTACCTTTATGGACCGTTTGGTACCAAATGAATCAAGAATTCATTTCATTTTAAAATGAATTACCTTGTAGAATTCATTGTCAAATGAAATCTTGTGTTTGGTATGTCATATTCAAATCCTTAGAAATAAAATAATTGTCGTGCAGAATTCATTGTCAAATGAACTTTTTTGTTTTGTATGTCATATGTATAAGTAATTTAGTTAATAAAAGAGGATAATTATATCATTCTATTATAATTAGTAAATATTTGTGGAATTCATTTGGAAATTTCATCTCAATTCCTCGGAATTGCTATAACTAGTTCCTATTCCATAGAATTCAAAATTTAGAATTGAAAATGAATTCTTTTAAATACCAAACACAAATATGTTTCATTTCAAAATGAATTCCACAAAACTTATGAAATTCATTTATACCAAACGGTATGTTAATTTCATGATATTTGATTTTTAATATTTTGTAATGTGAGGTGTAAACTAATGTTGTAAAGGCTAAATTAATTCACCGCGACATGGTGAAAACTTATAGAATGCATATGAATATTATGATATTGATTTGATTTCACATCCGAGGAGGATACGAAGCTTCGAGCCACTCCCTCACCTACCGGCCCACTTCCATCGTCATTTCTCGCTATATATATATCTCTCCTACGCTTTCTAGTTTCTACTCTGTCTCTGCATAACCAAATAGGTTTTCCGCCGACCAAGCATGTCTAGCAGCGATCGTATAATCTCCTCTCCTCCTCTGCCGACCAACTACGACGACGACGGCGAGGAAAGCCGCCAAGATGATGACCAGATCTCCCCTGACCCCGAACCACCGCAACAACAACAGCAGCAGCTCAACGGCAGGAAGCTGTCCATCAGAAAGCTACGGCGGTACGACTCCTTGGAGGTCGAGTCCGGCCAGTTCAACGGTCGGGACCACCACCTCGGCTCCAGGGTCCGTTACTTAAAATTAATTATTTCCCACACCCTATTTATTTATTTATTATTAGTATTAGTATTTAGAGTATACTGATCAGTTAAGTGGTGGGCCCGCCTCCGCCGCCGCCGCCGTCGCCGCAGGAAGCGAGCTGGGCGGTGATCCTCCAGCTGGCGTTCCAGAGCATCGGCGTCGTCTACGGCGACATCGGCACCTCGCCGCTGTACGTCTACGCCAGCACCTTCACCAACGGCATCAACGACGACGACGACGTTTTGGGCGTCCTTTCGCTCATCATTTACACGCTCACCTTGATCCCTCTCCTCAAGTACGTCTTCATCGTTTTGCGCGCCAACGACAACGGCGACGGTGAGTCATCTAACCCGATTTTTTTTTTTTTACGGATAATCTATGCAACTGGACAAAAAGACACGATTAGGTTTTGACGCGGAATAATTAAGTTGGGGGGAAAGAAGAGACTGTGTGCGGGTTGCGTGTAAATCTGGAGAAAGGTGGAGCTTAACAGTAAAAACAGTTTCAATTTGTGTGTTTAAGTCTGCGCTACTGTCTTTGCAAGAAAGCCATTTTCAGTCTGTTTCTCTTTTCCTTTCTTTCTTTCTTCCATCTTTTTGGTGGACAGTTCACAGTTGCTCCTTCTCCTCCTCGTTTGTTCCCTCTTACGACTACAGTCCAAAACGGAAAACAATATTTTCCTCCACCGGGCTGGCAATTTGTCACGAATAAAAGCTGATTTGATTTGTGGGAACGGGGAAAGAATAATTATTTGTTGGAGGGTCGGGACTAATTAAGTTAGGTGGATACAATTATACAATGAAATATATGCTATTTTGGGGAGTAAATTACAATTAATTGGTTAATTAATGTCATTAGATCCGAATCAACCGGCCAGGGAAGGCGATGAACGAATCCAAAAACGAATCCAAAATTTTATTGTTGTATTGAATTATTCGAAGAAAAAAATTAATAATATTTGTATTGAAGTCTCCCGGGCTAGAGTTTGTTAAAGAAAATTAGTAAAAAGACAACCTCGGATTTGTCTTACTAAGCTGGTAAGCACGTGAAAGCAAGTGTTAGGGAAATGAAGTCTAACTCATTTTTTTTTTTTTTTTAGTTTATTAGGTGATGGGTGACGCTCTAATCAATGAAGTCTCCTAGGCTAGCTAGCTCGAATAATATAACGGGATTCCTTTGTTCATGCATCTATCTCGACTTTATAGAGCAAACGTGACAAATTATAATCTAGATTTTAATACAAAGAAAAAAATTATGTTAATATAGAGAGATTTCCCGAATCTATTGAACGAGATCAAAGTAGAATTGGAAATATAAAAAAAAAAGATTATGATTTACTTGTTCCTGAAAATATTTTATATTCCTACCAATGTAATTTCTATTACGGATGGACAAATTTTCTTATCCGGCCTGCTATTAATGTGGGTATTTCAGTCTCCCGAGTCGGATCCGCAACTCAAATTAAAGCTATGAAACAGGTAGCTGGTAAATTAAAGTTGGAATTGGCACAATTCGCCGAATTAGAAGCCAACATCGAATTGATCCACCCTTTTTCCATAGAGCTTTCTTGCCCTTTGTCGCTATTTATATCAACATAAACAGATGAATAGTCATTCGATGAAAAAGAAGTTAAATATTTCAGTTCTTGTCAGAAAAATGATATAGATCGAATTACTAAGATTGGGGATAGTATCATGTCCCAAAACTCTTGCTCAATTCAAAGTTCATATATCATTTTCTTACTTAATTTATGTCATACATTTGATTTTACTCAAGGTGCAATAGAACCATAAATATATATATATTTATATATTGTCATTTGTTATTATGCATTGACCTTATAATTATCAATTTGAGTAGACAATTTGTGAAGCATCCATAGTTCAGTGATTTATTAATTAGAATTTATGTTCAGAATTTAGGGTAATGCATGGATTATATGTGATTATATAATATCATTGTATTAAACTAATACTGCTTATCAAAATTCAAAGTTGAATTTCTTTAAACTAATATTAAAACTGGGTGCAGAGTATGCATTCATTACAAGGGTTGTTATTACGTTTAGGGTACTGTAAGTATCTCTCTTCAACGTACGTGAATAAAGTCAATGGACTGAGTTTTGGTTTCTTGCCTAATAGTTAAAGCACTTAAGAAACCGAAAACTTTGACGCATGCTTTCGCCTAGAATCAAAGATTCCGATGATCGATGAAATAATGATAGGATGGCAATTTCGAGCTGATCCGCGATTTACCTGATTCGTTTACCTTGTTTTGGGGCGGGCGCGGGCATGGGTAGTACCTCTCATCGACCCAAATTGTTCTGATCCGTCCAATTCTCGACCCATTCTTGTCTAAATTACATGTAATTTTAGTCCAATTACTTAGGATTTTCCTCTTATTACATCATATTTTAGATATAATTTAACTATATTTTATCATATTATGGTTTCTTTCTTGGTCTTTTAATGAAAATAACGAATATTTCTAATATTTGCTGCATAAATTACATACCTTTGGATCGACCTGCCCCGACCCGCGCCTCATTATAAATTACCCACCCCGAACCCGACCTACAATAAGACGAAAATGAATATCGAGATATCCGTCCCGGATATGTGACATTGCCGCTGGGAAAAAAAAAATGATGCAGCTGAGTAATTAGGCAGGTGCTGGATCGGGCCGGTCAAGGAGTTGATAGTTAATGTAATGAAGTCAGCAAAATTCCAAGTCAGATATTGCTGTTTTGGAAAGAGCTCTCTCTCTCTCAGCACTAATAACAACACGACACAACTCTTTACTTTTTCTCTTGTTGGGAAAAATTTGCTCATAAAAATCCAATAAAAAAGAAATGCCAAACAACATGTTTTTAAATTTATTTTTCAATAGTTTGAGGTTGGTTTCTGACGTAAAATAAAAGTACATTTTATTAGTACTTAGAAATGATTCACAACACACAATTTTGCATTTGAGGGCGGAGAATTCAACGCTAAATTAGAGACGAATAAACTCAGACTCTATCCCGATCTCGTTGGTTCTCTTAAAAAAAAAACACCTTTCACTTTTTGAAGTTTTCTTTATAAAGCATATATTACGACGAATAATATATGCGTGCGCGCGCGCAGGTGGGACATTTGCGTTGTACTCGCTGATATGCCGATACGCGAGGGTGGGGCTGACGCCGAGCCAGCAGGCGGAGGACGGGGAGGTGTCGAACTACCAGCTGGAGCTGCCGAGCAGCAAGACCTCGCGGAGGGCGTCGGTGCTGAAGTCAAAGCTGGAGCAGAGTTGGACGGCGAAATACGTGCTGCTTTTCGCCACCATGCTGGGCACTTCCATGGTCATTGGAGACGGCGTTCTCACTCCCTGCATCTCTGGTAAAATAAAAACTACTAGCTACTATTCTTACAACTTGGTCATGCACGTGTGTTCGTTTCTGTTGTTTCCTTTTTTTTCTTTCCTGCTGCTTTTTTTTTATCATGTGTGCGCATGGGATATTCGTGATACTTCTTACAAGCCGGGAATTATTAATTAATAATGGGTAAGTTTATAGTGACTTTCAAGTCATCGTGACATGTAGAAAACGATCGATCCCATCTATAAAATCGGTCGATTGTTTATAAGTTGCGGCGTTGATTCGATCGTTAAAAAATGTTATTGTGATTTGGAGAAAACAATAGGTCAGTCGATCTGATGATCATTTTTCAGAAAATTGTAAGAAAGTGTGGCTCAATATGAGAATTTCTCAACACCTGAGTTATTTAATGATTTGGAGAAAACAGTAGGTCGATTTGATGATCATTTTTCAGAAAATTGTAAGAAAGTGTGGCTCAATATCATACATGAGAATTTCTCAACAGCTCGAATTATTTAAGACTGATTGGTTTATGAAAAAAAAAAACAATTGGCATTTTCCAACAAATGGTAGTCTGCCGACGATTTTCTGACAAACGATCGATCGGTCGCTTCCAAAATACGGTCGACGATTTATCAGAAGCAATTAATCTACCGATTTTTCGAAAGTGGTCGATGGATTTTTTTTCATGTGAGGGTAACTTGTGAAGTCCTTAAATAATAATGGGTAGGTGGTAAATCTTTTTTTATTTATTTTGTTTTTGTTTTTGTTTCTGTTTCCTCTTCTTCAAGTTGTCATTATTGACCATAATATAATGGTCTGGCCTGGTGGAGTTCATACTTAGAACGGAACCTTTCAGTGATACATACTTCTGATTCTTGGTCGTCTTTCATGTGACGATAGCTACTGCCCACTTTAATTCGAGAAATTAGTATTGTATTTTGGCAGCCCAGAAAGTCAAGAGTCTGAGAATCATGGATGCATAGAATATGGTTTCGTAACCTTATTTCTTTTTGGAAAAAAATGAGGTAACGTTCACATGCGGATTCCGTCGAGTGGTGTGTCATAGGTGTCAGGTTACTTTCTGGACTTTGAGAAAGGGATTTTTTTTTTTGGTTAATTAGTATTATTACGGGCCAGAATAACATTATTTCCTACTAAACAGGGTCAATTATTGTCTCCTTCTAGTCTTTGATGTCACCACTTCATGTTTACTCAATGTTAGCGCCGTTGGTTCGGTTAATCGAACCGGTAAGTTGGAAAACTGGAAAGCACGAAATTCGGTTAAAATAAAAACCGCAAAACTGAATTTGGGGCTCGATCTGCGCTCACAACAGCTCAACTTCGCTTGTAGTTTCAAAACAATTGTATTGCGACGGAAAATATTTTACAAGTGAAATTGGTCGAGAATTTTGCATTGGTTTAGTTTGAATTATTTATTTATTTGTTCTCCAATTGCTTAATTACTTCTTTTACTAGAAACACTATTCTAACGACGTTATATATATAAAAAAAAACGTATGCAGTTTTATCTGCAGTTGGAGGGATCAAGCAGGCGGAAGAGTCCATGTCTCAAGGTACGCGCATGCACTAAAGCTAATCTTCTCACCTTTCAATAATGTAATTATATTTTGAAACAAAAAAACATTATATATAGTCAAAACAGCTAAATGTATCAATTTCAATCTTCAGCACCACAGGTCTTGGACAAAAAACAAATTAAAAGCACACGTAATATCCCCTCAATTCAATATGTTTACTCTTCAAGTATTAGCAGCGACGAATTCAGACATTTAAAATCAAAAGAGTTAAAAAAAATTTAAAGACTAGTAAATTGAATTGTGGTAATTGAGAAAAGGGGTTAAATGCTGATTCGATTATTTAGTTTTCTAAATTTGTTACATATTTTACATGCAATTTTATCTATATATACTTCAATCTAGTTCCGTTCGCCACTAAGTATAAGTCTGCATCCGATTGGGAGTGGACTTAAAAAGAGTTCAATATTGGGCCAAATCTTTTTAAGTTGAACTCCACAAGCAAATTAAGCGCGAATTTTGTGATGGAATTTGGAGTAGGGGTTGACTATTTGGTTCGATCTGTTTGGTTTTACCCAAAATTGGATCGTATAATCCGGTTTGGGATCGGATCCGGATAACAAACACTTTAATCTCATCTTTAGGCTCAGATTTGAGGTCGGATAAAAAACTGGATAAAGACTGGATAAGAGAGCTCAACACCAAAACTTAACCAACTCCTCACCCTTTGAGGCCTCAGGCCACTCAAATCCCCACATGCTCAATCTAAAATCAAAAACCGAATTGGGACAGGACCGGACCGGATCAAGACGAGATTGTGTCCAATCCAATCTTTGGTCTTTATATTCCCAAAAAGACACCAGATCGATTCGGGCCAATTTAACCGGACCGTATAGCCACCCGTAATTCGGAGGACAAGTTAATATCACGAATTAACATTTCCAAATAAATTAAATTAGTGTCTATTATCCTTTAAAAAAAGAATTGTTAGTGGTAAACATAGAAACAAATTTAATCCACATTGATTTTTCATTCTCACTTCCCAAAATCAAATTATATGTTGTTTAATTTTTTTTTTGTTTGTGTAAACCCAATATTGCAGAGATGGTCGTGTGGATCTCGGTGGGCATCCTGATCGCGCTCTTCACGGTCCAGCGGTTCGGCACCGACAAAGTGGGCTACAGCTTCGCCCCGATCATCTGCGTCTGGTTCGCCCTCATCGCCGGCATCGGCTTCTACAACTTCGTCACCTACGACCCCACGGTGCTCAAGGCCCTCAACCCCAAATACATCGTCGACTACTTCACCAGGAACAAGAAACAAGCCTGGATCTCCCTCGGCGGCGTCGTCCTCGCCACCACGGGCACCGAGGCCCTCTTCGCCGACGTCGGCCACTTCACCGTCCGATCCATCCAGATCAGCATGTGCTGCGTCACTTACCCTGCCCTCATCGTCGCCTACACGGGCCAGGCCTCCTTCCTCAGCAAGAACACCCACCTCGTCGCCGACACTTTCTACAAATCCATTCCAGGTTCCCGAAACCTTGAAATAATTTTTTGCGATTTATTGGGACCGACTGGTTGTTGTTGACTCGCACTACGGTTTACTGATTCGCGGCGTGTGTGTCGGTGTATAGGTGGGTTGTACTGGCCGATGTTCGTGGTGGCGGTTCTGGCGTCGATTATAGCGAGCCAGGCGATGATTTCGGGGACGTTTTCGATAATCCAGCAGTCTTTGGCCCTGGGATGTTTTCCTCGAGTGAAGATCGTGCATACTTCGACGAAGTTTGCTGGACAGGTGTTCATCCCGGAGGTTAATTATCTTCTTATGCTGGCATGTATTGGAGTCACCGTTGGGTTCCAGACTACTGCCAAGATCGGCAATGCATACGGTAATTATGATCATTTGTGCTCTTTATAGTTTAGTGAAGTAAGTTTGATCCTAGATAAATACTGGTATGGTCCCACCTGATCTGATGGTCGAGTTGGGTCGGTTTGTCTATAACGTAAGTTTAGGGTAGTAGTATTTTTTTGACTCTGTAAAATTTGGGTAGGGTCGAGTCAATTTAGCGTTGTCCGGATCATTTTTTGATCCAGTAACCTGTAATAACAATTATTAGTGATTTGAAATTGGGAGAAGACAAAGTACCAACATATTGGACATGAATGGTTTAGAAACACTAATTATAATGCAACACAAAAGTATTAAAAGTACAAAAACATAATTTTGACTACCAAAATATCTGGACCTGTTTGTAAAAAAAAACTAAAGTTTAGGTACTGTAAGTAAGAAAAAATAAAATGAGTAATTTTTTATTTTGCTGACCCGAACTTTACTCGTCTGACTCTAACATCCATGACGTCAGTTTAGGATTGAGTCATCCTTTGATTCTGTACGGGTCGGGTCAATTTAGGATTGTCGGTCACATCACTTATTGATCTTATGATCTACTGGCTCGGCCACGCCCAAACAGATTAGATAGAATCAAGGAGAGAAAACAAGAGCGCGACATATACTAGTTTCATATCAGTGCGACGAATCTAACCCAGTTTCAGCCCTACTTTTACATAATCCATATGGTAAACAGCGGCGGCGGATCCAGGACACAGTAGAGCACCGAGCCGCATTTTATTAGAAAACTACTTTCTACTTCGTATCTCTTGACTTTTACCATACGTATTTCAGGAATCGCCGTGGTCTTCGTGATGACCCTGACCTCTTCGTTCCTGGTCCTGATCATGCTCATGATATGGAAGACCAACATCTTCCTGGTCATCGCCTTCGTCCTCACCATCGGCAGCGTGGAGCTCCTCTACCTGAGCTCGGTCCTCTACAAGTTCAACCAAGGAGGCTACCTCCCACTGGCCATCGCCGCGGTCCTCATGTCCATCATGTTCGTGTGGAACGACGTGTACAGGAGGAAATACCGCTACGAGCTCGACCATAAGATCTCCCTCGAAAAAGTGAGGGAGATCGTCACCGACACGACTGTACAGTCGGTCAGCAGGCTCCCCGGGCTGGCCCTGTTCTACTCGGGGCTGGTCCAGGGGATCCCACCGATCTTCGAGCACTACGTGGGCAACGTCCCCGCGTTGCACTCCGTCCTCGTCTTCGTCTCCATCAAGTCCCTCCCCATAGGGAAGGTCCCCAGCGAGGAGAGGTTCCTGTTCCGCCGCGTCGAGCCCAAGGGGCTCAACATGTTCCGTTGCGTGGCCAGGTACGTACTCTTGGCATGAACAATTTTGAAAGCTATAATAAAAAAAAAAGATAACTAAAAGAAAATTCGGTAATCCTAATTTTTCCTGTTCGGTTTATAACAGGTACGGGTACACGGACGTGAGGAACGAGGAGGAGCCGTTTGAGGGGATGTTGGTGGAGAAGTTGAAGGAGTTCGTCGTCGGCGGTTGGGAGAAGGAGGAAGGCGGTGGGGATGGTGGTGGTGCGGCGGCGGAGGAGATGGAGGTGATCGAGAAAGCGTGGAGGGCCGGGGTGGTTCATTTGATCGGAGAGAACGAGGTGGTGGCGGGGAAAGGAGCGGGGATGGGGAAGAGGGTTTTGATCGATTATGCTTACAATTTCTTGAAGAGGAATGTGAGGCAGAGTGAGAAGGTGTTTGATATCCCGCACAAGCGCATGCTTAAGGTTGGCATGACGTACGAGCTCTAGAATTTAATTATGATTAATACGTATATATAGGGTCGTTAATTAAGATTATGAAGTGAGATTAGTTGTTTCGAGAACTCAAAAAGTAAACGTTGAGTGAGAGAGCTAATTTAAGTACAGAGAGGATCTGTGGTTATGGAACGGTGGAGAGCATCATGTGATTACTGTAATAGTATTATTATACATATAATGATTAGAAATAACGGACCGTATGTATGCTAGATGTGCTTGCGGCTTAATTGTTGAGATATCTATGTTGCAATATTGCATGGAATGTATGTAACAATTGTGCTGATGAAGATGCATGAAGATAGCAGTGTTTTACAAAAAATAGTTGCGATTCCAAAACAATAGCATATATAGTTAATAAATGGGATCAGTTACGGTAACAACACTCCTTGTGTTGTTATTGTAACAACACTAGCCTCCAACCAATAGGAATCTAGGATTGTGATGACTTTTTATGAACTGAGTTGACCTAGTGTAAAATCAAAGCAGGGGTATAATTGTCATTATGAAAAATATATTTAAATAATAAAAAAATAAAAAATATTTTTTTATTTTCGGCCCAAAATTTTGGTCGCCGGAATTCGGCCATCGGTCGCCGGAATCTGGTCGCCGGTCACCGGAATATGCTTTTTTGTCGCCGGAATATGCTATTTTGTCACGGAATATGCTCACCGTCGTCGGAATATGCTTACCGGCGTCGGAATATGCTTACCGGCATCGGAATCTAGTCACCGGGTCCGGAATATGCTTATCGGCGCCGGAATCCGGTCACTGACGGTCATCGGAGTTTGGTCAACGAACTTCGTTGACCGGTCAACGAACTTCGTTGACCGGTCAACGGTCTTCGTTGACCGGTCAACGAAGACCGGATGTATGGTCTACATTGTGAGATTTATGGTTTGGTTTCTCACATTTTTGTATGCCTTTTGTGGTTTGCTTTATCGCGTTTGTGGTTTGCATTACGAAGTTCCTGGTTTGCTTTATCGTGTTTGTGGTTTGCATTGAGAAGTTTCTGGTTTGCTTTCAAAAACTTTGTGGTTTGCATTGTGGGGTTTTTGGTTTGTTTTAGGAGATTTGTGGTATGCATTAGGAGGTTTTTGGTTTGTTTTTGTGGTTTGCTTTAACGTGTTTGTGGTTTGCATTATGAGGTTTCTGGTGTGTTTTTGAAAATTCTGTGGTTTGCTTTGTGAGGTTTCTGGTTTGTTTTAATAGATTTTTGGTCTGCATTAGGATGTTTCTGGTTTGTTTGTGTGGTTTGCTTTATCGTGTTTGTGGTTTGGATTATGAGGTTTCTGGTGTGTTTTTGAAAATTCTGTGGTTTGCTTTATGAGGTTTCCAGTATGTTTTAGAGCATTTGCGGTCTCGTTTAGGAGGTTTCCGGTATGCTTTTGTGGTTTGTTTTATCGCATTTGTGGTTTGTATTAGGAGGTTTCTGATGTGCTTATAAAATATTTGTGGTTTGCTTTCTAACTTTTCTGATTTATTTTAGGTGATTTATCGTATGTATTGAGAAGTTTCTAGTGTGCTTATGAAATGATAACTAACAAAAGAATGCAAAACTGTTACAAAGCTACAACCCCATTTAGAATCACAAACCAATAATTGTAACAAAGCTCTTCCATGTTGAACTACTCATAATTGAATAACTTAAATCACAATCCAATCACAAGACTCCACCCAGCCATCTCACGAATTTTACAACTTGGAATTATCTTTTTTGCAACATAAACAGACATCTCAACTTTGTTCTTGGAGATGACCACACAACCAAACTCATAACCAACTAAAGATCACCCAAAAAATACCACATGCAAGTCGACTACAAAATCAGACCATGCTCATGTCATATCTGATTCAGTTGACACACCTGTACAAAGGGGCAATCCAATCTCTGCTTCCAAGTTCAGAAGCTTGAATCCTAATTCACTTTAGCCATTACTCCACTGCTTCCTCCCTCACTTCGTTGCGGTCTCTCCTGCAGCTTCAACGGGACCTCTCCAACATCAAAATTCTCTATCTACTGCTGAAATTAGCGTCATCTTTTGCATGTAGGGTTCAGATCGGTTGTTATACATATCAATCTCAAGCTGAAAAGCAAAAGCAAAAGAGGGCAGAGCCATCAATATCCACTCTCAAGCTCACAATATGTTCTGATCCCGCCTGTGCCGACGGAGATGAGAATTAGGGCTGGGTAGAATCCAGATCCTTGATGTTCTCGAGTACCATAGTGGGCCAAAGTGCAGAATAAAGAACGAGGCGAGATTTGGCTGCAATTGAAAGAGGAGGATTGGGGCCTCCGGCGTCGGAGTCGGTAACTGCATTTTCGGCGGCGGCGAAAACGAATACCGGCATTAAGAAGAGGTTTCTGATCGGTGCAGAGAGGAGAAACATACGAACAGTGGGGAAATAACACCGCCGTCGGTCGTGAGGTTCGTGTAGCGCCAGGCCTTCCACGTCAGCAACGTCGTCGTCGCGATCCACAGGCGAAGCGCTTGCTGTTCTTGCGAGACCACGTGGAGAGGTTAGAAGGTTCAGATTGGACGGCGTCGGCACCGGGGAGAGTATTGGAGGAGAAAAAGCCGATGAGGAAGAAAGATACACGCGAGGAGGAGATCCAGAGACGGCTGCAGCTGGATATTAATTTTTTTTATTTGTTAGATATTGTGTTAATGGACCCTTTTACCCTTGTTGTTACTATAACAACAAAAGAGGTGTTGTTATAGTATCCGGAGCCTTAATAAATACTCCGTTGAATACACGTATATTGGTACCTCATTTTTCTGCCTTAGATTCGTGACTAATTAAATGTTATACTTAGTTGCAAGTTTTACATGTCATTAGTCATTAATTGGTGTATGGACTTTGCTATGACTAGGAGAAATAAGTTTATTGGTACCTCAAATGCTAAATACCGACCAAATCAATCTCAATCTGAAATAGTTTCATATGTTAATAGTATAGCAGCTTATACTCCCAAACATACAAATACTGGGGTATTATGTTCAATTGACTAAACTTATACTTCCCTATTATTAAATAACTCATGATTCTCTAAATCTAAATTTAGTTTCACTTTAGTCATTCATCAATACAACTAAATAATTCATTCTTCTAAAATATTTCATCGTAAACATAAACATCAGTTAATAAGAATTAGCCATTCATTACAATCATATGTACAGAACTTATACTTCAATATTATTAAATCACTTATAATTCTCTAAATCTCAATTTAGTTTAACTATAATTGCTCATCAATACAACTAAGCAATTCATTCTTCTAAGATAGAGCATACACACAAGTCAATAAGAATTAGTCATTTCTTACAATCATATAGTTAATTATATATTTGGTTATTAAGGATAAACCATGTCCTTCATTTATTTGAGAGGGCAATTTGAAGCTCTGTGAGATAAGGGAAGGTACATTATATCATGTTAAAGTTTTTGGAAATGCTCGATATCTTGGTATATATCAATTCCCATTGCATATCTAGAATATTGAATACTACTTAAAAATCAATGTCAATCACAAACCCAAAAAATTAACTCAGTAATCAATAAATTAAATATTGATAAATTTTGTGTGATATTTGATGGATCCCAAATAGTTAAACCAAACTTCCACCCCTAGTTTGGAACAATATTTTAAATATGACAATCCTTGGGTGTTGGCCGCTGACTTTCCAAGTAATGATTAATTACTAATAAACTTAATCACTACTCATTATATAGGGATACAACTAATATGCACATGGACATGGTTACATGGAATAACTAAGTATTTTCATCCCTTAATCAGATTTAATATGCCCAGTAACTTTCGGTTACCCCTAACCAACCACTGTCTAAATAAAAAAAAACACTACTAATGAATTAAAGTAGCTAAATTAGCCTGACCACTATTCACACGACCTCACACAAGAACTTCATGTTATACTTCATTAGTAGGCTTTGTTCTGGCCAAATCAATTATAGTATGTTCGTTGTCCAAGTTTAAAGGTCATTACATATAGAAATTTACACACACAATGACTTACCAATTACCACCCAACTGTAAGTTAAGTATCTTTTTCACAAAAAAAAAACTATTTGTTAAGTATCATTAGATTTGGTTCAATCGATATTGGATGACCATCATTACTTGATTTCGTGTATTGGATGACCATCATTATTTGGTCATCCAAGTTTACTATTCAATCCAAGTTTAATTACACAAACAATATTGGATGACCATCATTATTTGGAAGACACACACCATGTATACTATTCAATCCAAGTTTAATTACACAAACAATATTAGGGAGCAATATTATCTCTACCAAGATTGCACTAACTTCACTTTGTTTAGCAAAACTTAAAATGTTATGGCCCGCTTCCACCTTCTAGCCTCGTCTTGCCAAGTCCACCTCTCCACCATTTCCACCAACCATCGGGGCTTCCTGATAGTGAACATAATGTAGGCGACCGATATTCCAATTACTAGCCCGCACCCGTATCCTGCTCTTGCAAATTCCCAATCAAACAATGCTCCAATACCAGATTCGGATTTCGGTTTCGATTCGTCGTCGTCGTCATCATCATCATCTTCACATTTCTTGGACAATGGAAACCCACATAACCCTTCGTTTCCAACATAAGAAGTGTTTTCAAATGTGTCGAATTGTCCGCCCCGAGGTATCAACCCTCGAAGCGAATTTCGCGAGAGGTTCAATTTTTCAAGATAAGTCAAACTCGCCAGTTGCGACGGGATCTCCCCTCTAAGTTGGTTAGAGGAGAGATCCAGGGACTCGAGTTGGGCCAAATTGCCCAACGAAGATGGAATCGGGCCGATGAAGTGGTTGTGTGAAAGATTAAGCCATATGAGAGAATTTAGCCCTCCAACTGCATCTGGAATTTGGCCGTGAAAATTATTGTTCGACAGATCCACGGTTGTCAAGATTGTCAACACCCTCTCCAGCTCAATCTTGCAACCTTTCACTGTCAGAACAGCCGAATACTTATAGTGATAACTCCCCGATTGAATGTAGTAGCTTATTCCCGCTGTCTCAAACTCTTGCAAGATCGTCATGGCTGGCAACTTGTGAAACAAACTTGCGGGCAGGCAGCCATTGAAGTAGTTGTTGGAAAGGTCCAATATTCGCAACATAGAAAAGTTGTACCTGGGATCCATAGTACTCTCGATCTTGATGTGACCATGGAAAAAGTTGGAGTGCAAGACGAGAACTTGTAGTTGAGGAAGAGATGACAACCATAGTGGGAAAAACATCATCAATATTATTGTCCCCGACATCTAGTACTTGAAGATTGTTGCATGTTCCTAGAGATAGTGGCAATGACCCTCCTAATTTGTTGCCATTTAAGTCCACATTCTCTAGGTGGCTCAGATTCCCCAATGTTGTTGGTATGTGACCACTTAAGTTGTTTGTCCTAAGATCCAAGACGGACAACTGGGTAAGTTTATCCAAGCACCGAGGAATGTTGCCACTCAAATTGTTCTTAGACAAGTTGATGACTTGAAGGTTGGAGAGATTGCAAATGTGGTTTGGTATCCTCCCAGACAAATTATTGTTTGCCACTGACAAGTATGTAAGTTGGGGACTACTCCACGAGACTGAAAGTGGACCTTGTATCGAGTTGTGGCTTAGGTCAAGAACACCAAGCTCGGACATGGTTGATGGTAGAATACTCATGGTGCTCAGAAAGTTGTGGGAGAGATTAAGGATCAGCAGATGCGGAAGCAGCTCGAAAAATGTGGCTGAGATGTTGGTTATGTTGCATGAAGACAACTCCAGACCTAAAAGCTGGGATGGGAGGAACTGATCATCATGTAAATTGTCATTTGATGTGACTGAAATATTGTTATCTGAAAGACTCAAGTTTCGGAGATTTCTAAACTTCATGATGGTTTCCAAGAGGAAGACCCCTGTTAACTTATTCGACTCGAGTCGAATGTCGGTGACATTGATGAGATTGAAGATGGAGTTTTGTACAAGGCCAGATAACTGATTGTGATGAAGATAAATGTGTTCCAAGGATCTCAATTTCAACTCCGGGATTTCTCCAGATAGTTGGTTGTGAGCAAGACTCAGAAATTTCAAGGATGGAAGGGCTAATAACCAAGATGGGATAGACTCGTTTAGAAAGTTACCTGTCAAGTCGACAAATTGTAGAAGATTACTTAAGCTATCATGGACTACCTCAGTTGGAAGCGGACCAACAAGATGATTTTGTGCACAATCCAGCACCTCAAGTTTTGGCAGGTTGAAGATCAAATTTGGAACATGACCATAGAAATGGTTTTGGCTAACTTTAAGTGTTGTTAGTTGTTGAGTGATGTTGCCAAAAATGTCAGGAAAAGGCCCAGAAAAGTTGTTTCCGGTGAGATCCAAGTATTCTAGTTGAACTAGGTTGGAAATAGTACTAGGAAATATCTCTGAGAAAAGATTGAATGAGAGGTCCAAATGAGCAAGGGATGTGAGATTTCCCATGGAAATTGGGATTTTTCCCAAAGTGTTAGTCCTGGAAACATGTAGTATCTTGAGGGGGCTAGTTGTCCAATTTGAGAGTGGAAATTGAACAGAGAGCTCACAGTTCTTTGTGAGAATAAACACTTGCAAGTTTGGCAGATGGAAGACACTCTCTGGGAAACTCCCTACCAATCCACAATTGGTTAGGTCCAGATATTTCATGGAATAGGACAAGTTGGCGAATAAGGAAGGTTTGATGTTTGACATATTTAGATTCTGAAGCACAAGCTCTCGTAACTTTGTCGCGTTAGCCAGCAACTTCGAGAAGTCATTATCTTTGGCAAACGAAACGAAGCTAGACGAAAGATCAAGTGAAACAAGCTTGTTGAGATGGCTGAATCCTGACGGGATTTCACCAGAAAACCTAGTAATGCGAGAGATTCAGATAAGTCAAACTGGTTAATCGGGCAAAACTTGAGGGGATCATTGAGCCATTGAAGCAATTGTTGGCCAGATTGAGACTCTGGAGGTACGACAAGTGAGAGATGAAGTCTCCTTGAAGTTGCTCATGAAGCTGACGACAACAATATAGGATAGGTGTACCAGATAGTTTTTCATCACAACTGAGGTCGAGACCCACGATGTGACCAGTGGAGGAGTCGCAAGTAACACCTTCCCACGTGCAATAGTCCACTCCATCATTCCACGATGCCATTTTGTCGTGGCCATTTGCATGGATGGCCAAGGACTTCTTCAACTTCAGCAATGCATCACTTTGATCAGAAAGACAGAGATTTGAAGAGAGCAATGGTGGATGATATTGTGGCATGGAGGCTTGGCAACATTGTTGTAGCACTAGTAAGAAGGATATGGCTACTAGTAGTACTTGTACAACTGGAATCTTTAATTTGGGCATGGATGGATTGTTTTATCAAATGTGAGATGGCTTGAATGAAATGAATTACTATCATATTATACGATGGAGAATATATAGAGTCCAAGTCAAAGCCCAATAACGAGTCTCCTTATTAAAATTTGGTATGTATCCCACCAAGCAAAAGTCATGGTAGTGGTATTGGTAGGGTATAAAGTTAAGAATTAAAAGTCTACGATATCTTACGACTTGACCTTGACTCTCTGGGGAGAAAAACTCTCAAGTATCCAATGGCTAGAAACATTTTCCAATGGTTTAGTGCTAAACCTCAACTTTCCTTTTTCGAACAAAGCCCAATTACCCGTGTTGATTGGGCAGCTCGGTCCAAATAAATTTTGTACGTTCACACTAGGGCTGGGAAAATAGACCAGACCGTTAGAAAAACTGTGGTCCAAACCGTACCGCACAGTTTGGTCTGGACCGTAGACCATTAAGTATGGTCTGGTCTGGTCCATGGTCTGTATTATTTTATGTTTTTGATCTCTTGGTCTGGTCTGGTCTAGACCGCGATTTACCGGACCAAACCGTGGACCCAACCGACTTGTCAATACGTGCTAATAGCCCATTCGATCACTCTCCCAACTCCCACAACGACACCCAAGTCCCAACCTTAATTTTGAGAATCTCGTTCCTCCTTCATTCACAACCACATTTAACCAGAGAGTAGAGATGATCGTGTCTCCATATGACATTATGTTAATGTTTATAACGTTATGGTGCAAGTTGGGATGCTTTTACCTTGTATTTTTGTTATGTACTAAGATTTAGGGTATCAAAATTAATCATGTATGTTAGGATTAATGTTTTAAGGCAAATAACAATTATTTTTCTTGGTTATTGGTTCAATTTTTTATATGGTTGACTAAATAAATTATTCATTTTTCTTTGAGTGTGGTCTATCTAGACCAGACCAAACCGAACCAGACCGCACAGGCGTGGTCTAGACCAGACCGTATAGTCTGTGGTCTGGTCTGTGGTTTATACTTCAGCCTCTCGGTCTGGACCATAGACCGTATATATGGTCTGGTCTGGACCAGACCGTACCGTTTCCCAACCCTAGTTCACACTATGATGGATTCAGATGTCATTCACATAGTCACACCCCACAAGGAGTTGCTCATGCACCTATGAATTCCACGGTTTAGTTTGGTTGTCCGGTCGAGCAAGTGTGTTGAGAATAAATGGTCAAATTGTTCATACATTTAAAAATTATATCAAATATCATCATATAGTGAACATTTTTTAGATGAAATAGTGAAAATTCAAACAAATTCATCCTGAGAACCTTACTACAGGCCGACCCGCAAGCGTGTTGCGCCCGTTTTTCTCATTGGGTCTGGGTCAAATCGGGCCAAACAGGGAGTTGATAACCTTGATGAACTCTGAAATACTCTGTTACAAGATTCATTGTCGTGTTTGCAAAACGTGTCGTATTGACACTCAAATTGAAAAACGGTCTCAAAGAGTCCAAATCAGTATAAGGTTCTCGGTGAAATGATTCCATTAATTACCATTAAATCATAATTTAACCACAAAATACACTATCATTGACTTATTTGATACAACCTCCGATACAGTTTCATTGATGCGTTTGTCTACCGATTTTTATATCTTGTGACGGTGATTCTGTTTATAGATGTAAGTTCCTTCTCCTGAAACGTTTGAAAAGAGAACAAAACAATCAAACCTAACACATATGTATTCATCATGTCGTTCTGCTTCACTACAAAGTACAAACATAGGAGGAAGAAAGCTAATCAACCAATCCCCTAGTGTTTCTCGAAATCTGTTCGTAGTAGTACGATTTGGTGAAATACGCTAAAGTACAACCCACAATTAAACGGGAGCTGTTTGAACCTAACTGAGTGTAGGAGTGAGGTTCACTAGAATGGGTCGAGAAGAATGAACGGCTTGGTTGAACAAGGACTTTGAGACAAATGAGAGGGAAGATAGAGCTGAAAGAGAGAGTGTGTTTAGTGAGAGAAAGTGATGATCTTAGAGATAGAGTCTGAAAAATCCGATCCCCTCACCCACCGGAGTAAATGCCATATTTATAAGCTACATGGTGGTGGGTGAGTTACATGATGGTACGATGACGTGACCACTATGGTACGGTGACATGACCTCTGACATGTCAGGGACAAAGACCATATCCCTATGGGTGACAAGACCCTTAGCCATGACTATACCTAGGACTATGATGTTGACTACCCTTCGGGTGACGCGGTGCCGCTTCTACAACTTCTCGGTGAGGGCTCGCGCTTGTCCAAAGCGCCGTGGTTTGGCGTCTATGCGCGGTCCTTGGGGCCGGTCTCTACACTCGCGCTTAGCCCTGGCGCGACTCGCGCGTTGGCTTTGACGTGAGCATCCTTGGGTATTTCTTCGGCGTGTTGAGATCCGAGTCATATCCCCAACAATTGCCCCCCATCAGGGGGTATTCCGCGAATGCCGCCTGTTTGATCTTCATGCGAGCGACTTGGATCTGCGCGATTCTGCCTGTTGATTATGATTGGCGCGATCTGGGTAAGTTAGTGTCTGCTCTGGTCTTCGCGTGATCGTCGGTGGCGCGCACAACTGGTGCATCCTTTGCCCGATTCCCGTCCATCCGAGATCTCCGGGATTGGTTGTGCGCGCCGTCTTCGCGTTGCCCCCCATCGGTGACGTTCCGCAAGTGTCCGAGATCTCCTGGGTTGGTTGCGCGTGAAGCCTCTGTCTTCGCGTTGCCCCCTAGTGTGATGTTTCGCGAGTGTCCGAGATCTCCTGGGTTGGTTGTGCGTGACGCTTTTCTAGTTGGTATTATTTTTTAGCGTGTTTTTTTCCTTTGTGGGCGTATCCTGCCCCCCAGGCGCTGTGCGGAACCTATGACGTCAGCGGCTAGTGCCTAGGGATGGTAGGTTGCCACGTGTATGTGTGCGGTTGGTCGGTTTTGGCGACCGTTTTGAAATTTGAAAAGGCTCTGACGGTTGCGATTCTCGATGCAACTTTAACCCTTCAGCTTTCCGTTGTCGAGTATAAATACCTCATCTCTGCCCAGAAGTCGGAACTCACTTTGCTTTCGTGAAAGAAAATTTTTGTTTGTTTCTTTGTGCTTTCTTGCCGTCTCTGGGATTCCTCTCCTTCTTTTACAACCTCGATTCTCATCTTGTTGTTGCTGATTCGAAGTATTATAATGGATAGCACCAACATCAACGAGACCGAGGTCGTGCAGGGCGAAGAAGGTAATCCCTCTTCTTTTTCACGTGTTTCTACCGATCCTTCACTGGATCTGGATGATTCTGGGCATGGGGATGACGGTGGAGCCGACGGTGGCGATGTAGTTTTGGCGGCGTCGCCGTCGCTCGACGTCGATGCAAACTGGGGACCCGACGAGGGGATCATTGCGTCCGGGAGTGGCCAGGCGAGCGCCGGTGCGCGTGGGGTATTGATTATCCGGCGGCCTCGAGGCGTTGCATCTGGGGTGGCTGACTCGGAGAGGCGCGAAGGGTCCGATACTCAGTCAGAACCGCGATGTATCGCGCGCGTAACTGAAGCGATGAGCCGATTGGGCTTCCGAGGTGTGGGCGCGGCTTACACCGTGATTGACTGGGCGGAGATGTGGGGCGATCAGCGCGCGCCCTGTGACAATCTTCTTAGGGGACCTGATCACGCGTCCATTTACGGGTATCAGGACGTGATGAACATAGTGCGTGGGTTAGGCTTTCCCCCCCCCCCCCCCCCCCCCCCCCCCATTGGGAGTACGCGGTTCCGTCCGCGCGAAGTATGGTTGGGAACTGTCCCGCGGGCTGGTTTGGGGTGTACACCGAGTACTGGGTGATGGGGTTTAAGTTCCCCATCGACCCTTTGCTATGCGCTTTGTGCAGGCGTCTCAATTGTTCAGTTGGGCGTCTCTCTCCTTCGGTGATAATGCACGCGAGCTGCCTCCGTCTCGCGTGCAAGAGGCTTAAGATTGAGCCAACTTACGGCTTATTCCGTAAATTTTATAAGATCAAGGATCCCACGAGGAGGAGCGACTGCCTTTCTATCAAGCGGCGTGACAAGAGACCTGAGGGTTTCGTGTAAGGGTCTCCCAAGTTGAAAAAGACTTGGTTTGAGCGTTTCTTTTATGTTAAACCAGCCCCCCGGGGAGTGGGCGAGTGAATTTATGGCGGAGCCGACCGAGTGGAAGAAGGGCGGCACGCATGGGTATGAATCGGACCTGGGGCATTACGCTAAGCTCGATGATGAATACGAAGCGTGCATGCATCAGAAGTTCAACTTATACGATGGCGGAGTCCGCGAAGCTTGTTTAGAAGAACTTTTTGCCGATGGTTAGTTGTGCTTCTTTCATTTTGCATTCTATCATATTAACCGCCCTCTTACGGCTTATTGGCGCAGGTGTTGATTTTTCCAGCTTGGCAAGTATGATGTCAGTTGATGACATTGTGAAGGCACCTCGCGCTGGGAAGAAGAAGGGAAAAGAGGTCGCACGGCCCAAGAGCGCGAAGAGGAAAGAGGTTGAGCAGCCTGTGGTTGCAGAGAAACCTGCGAAGGCTGCTCGCGTTGTGGAGCAATCTGGGCAAACACCGAGACAACAGCCGCTTGTAATTGTTGAGCCGACGGCCTCAGTGGACAGGAGCGTTCGGCCGGAAAGTAGCGCGGCTGGTGGCTCATCTGGGGCCACAATTCAGCAGAAATTGCCCCAGATGGCTGGTGGCGCCATTGACTACTTCCGCGATCTGCGGTCCACACGGGCGCGGCATGTAACGTTGTGGCCGCGAACAATGCCCTCCGGGCACTAGGACCTCTTCTGAGTGTCCCGTCGCGACTGGAGAAGTCTGATCCGCTTCAGGATCTTGCGCAAGTGCACTTCGCGGTAAGATTGGCGTAGTTGCGGGAGTTCCCCCTTTTCACTTCTTTTTATTTTTACTAAGTCCTGTGGTGTTGTGGGTACAGGGTTTGCTGGCGACCTTCCGCGCTCAACAGGAGCGGAGTCGAGAGCGCGC